CCCCATCAACAACACGATGTTTGCAATGACTATGAGGACGAAATCCCAGAATGCAGCGGAGAATGACAAGAGTCTGAGTCGCATTGTTGCATACATCGTTGTTGCACGCCAACAATGGAAACGTATAAAAAGCAATGTATACTGCGACTTAGGATGTGACATGTACTTTCTGGACTCTGAGGCTCTTGTCGGCGTCTACGGGAGACTTGACTCAGCTGTTTCGCATCAGAATGCCATGGCTGCGAGCGTGCGGCGTAGCGATTGCGGCGTCAGCACCCTCAGGAACGCTGCCTGATCCTTAGCTGCACTTTGCTGAATACCTACCTAGGTATCAATATATCCAGGCCCTCTTTAGACACAAACCTCCGCTATTTGAACATGTCAGCCTCACCAGACGCACGCGTCCGAATGACATCCAGTTCGAGGACTGGATGTACAGTTTATTCATACCCATCCCATGGCGGTATCATCATGAAGAGGTTTACAAACCCTGAGCTGGAGTGCCTTGGCCTCTCGTGCAGGCAGTCAGACCCAGGACCGTTCCATGACCAACAACAAGAAGACGCGTTCGCACTACGTATGCTCCACCTAGGTGCGCGCTGGTGGCCATCCCTCAAGTTCTACGAACGCCACACAAGAGACGAACCGTATCCTTACGGTTACCACTTCCCATCCCATCTTCACGTGGCCTATACCCCGACCAGCTCAGGAGTCTGGGTTCTAGCAGTATGGGCCGAGAACTCACAAACATGGTTGGAAGAATACGATCCGCCCCGAAAGCCCGAAGACTGGGTGGACTTGGCGTATTGCAGAACCATGGAGGAGCGATGTAAGATGTTGGAAGAGTTTGGCGCGACTCTCTATGAGGATGTCGAGCAGTGTGATAAGCTGCCGTGGAGTTTGGATGAGGGTGTTAGGGAAGGCAAGAGATACGAGGAGTTGCTGCGGAAGATGGAGGATGACGAATATTTCGAGGATTGGATGATGAGTCTGTGATCGACTGATGTTAGCGAAGGCAAGAGTAGATCATTTGCTTTAAAAGACGGAGGGAGAAACATCGACTTCTTATAGCATCACTCAGGGTCATGAAGAGATAAACAGCTTGTTAGATATGATCTGAATGCATTTCCATTGTTCTGTTAACCCGCAACGTCTGCCATAGCTACGACAAAAGTATATCGAGATAATACATGTCGCTGCTAATTTAGCATAGCCATGATCTGAGCGAACCGCTTCAACGCGCTCAACATTCCGCTCTAATCTCCACTGATCTCCGCACTCCTTGCTCTTTTCCCAAGCCTAACCCTGCGCTGCCGCCTTGCGCATACGCTTCTCATGCTTCTTGTGCCTCTTCTTCGTCCTCTTCGCGTACTTCTCCAAAGTCGCAATACGGTTCTTCGCCCAGTTGGGACCGGCGTCGGGGGGCGGGGCTGTAGAAGAGCATTGTAGTTAGCCAATGCATCGTATAGATATAGAACAAGGCAAAAGGTGGACGCCTTACTTCCAAGGTCTCCTCTAAGCAGACGTTCCTTCTCGTCCTCTCGACGCTCATGCTTCCGCTCGAAACGTTGGTGACGGTGTCCAGGCGATTCGGTGCGACAGCTCTGGGTGCGCTTCGGGTTTCGTGGTTTAGGGTCGTGCGGGTTCTGAGAGGGCATCTTGGTGGGGTGCGAGTATTTTCCCTTGGGTTGGTTAGGCATGTAACATCTTATGAAACTTGTCTTTCTAATCTATACCTTGCCTGGGTACCAGTACGGGTCGTTCTCTTTGGTGTAGTTCTTAGTCAAGTCGCGTCTGATGCTCCTCGCGCTGTCTTTCCGGTCGGCATGCTCGTCGTCATCAGTCAAAGGGCTGCATTCACGGTCTCTGCTGTCGTCGCGACCGCGTATCGGTCCATCGTCTCGATCACCCCCAGGACTGCGTGGACGATGCTCCCACTCATAGCTTGGCTCACGTTTGAAGCTGTCTCTTGAGCGATTGCGTGAACGATCATCAGATCCGCGCCTCGAATCGCGTCTATCATCACCATCCAGACGGTTGCGTGAACGGCCATCGCGATCACGGCTGCGGTCGCGCCTGCGATCATCGTCCCGACGGTCGGACGAACGATCACGTCGCTCACGGCTGCGCTCGCGCCTGCGATCATCGACCCGGCGGTCGCGTGATTGATCTTGTCGATCACGACTAAGCTCGCGTCTGCGTTCATCTCCCCAGCGGTTGCGTGGACGGTCGTCTCGCTCCCGGCTTGTTTCGCCTTTGATGTCGTCGCCCCAGCGGTTGCGAGGACGTTCCTGCTGCTCACGGCTGGGCTCACGTCTACTATGATAGCTATCATAACCGTGGTAGGTCTGTGGGTAGCTGTCGACGCGTCCCTGTGGTTCGTCGCTCGGCTCGCGTTTGACGCGATTGTCGATGGGATACTGGAAGTCCGACATCGCGCCGCGGGATGGAGTAGTCAATGCGAAGAGAGTGTAATGAGAACGAGAAAGGAAAAGAGAGAGGACGGATTGAAGTGACGGAAGAGAGACCGGACACGGTTTGAGGAAGCGACAAAAGAAATGACTCGTCGTTGCGAACTTGAAGCCCCGCTGCGACAATCAGGGAGGAACGACGGCAGTATACGGAAAGGAGCAGCGGGCCCGCAATGCCTAACGACGCGTCCCGCGTTGGGCGCGTATGCTGACACTTTATCAAGACTTACGCGCACTCCAATCTAGACACGGTCGAGATACCTCAGTCTTCGCGATGGAGACGGCTCATGATGACTTAGCCCAGGCGCAGGAGAAGAAAGTAGCCGTACCAATGACGTCACCCCGCTAGATCGCATCCATCTCGACAGGCACGGCCGAACACGAAGGTGACAAAGCTGCAAAACACTGTTGCCTCGGATTACCACATACTTCCACAACAGCCGCCACAGTATCGTACGCGCACATATCGGACACAATGCATCTCCTAACCTCAAGCTGCACTACCGCAGCAACTATACACTTACAATCGATATTCTCACAGCGAACCAAAGATTGAGACGCAACTAATAGGGCCACAACCATCTCTACAAAGTCGCGATATGGACAGCGTATACACAGTCCGCGCCTCACCCGGCGAAGGACTAGGCTGTTTCACTTCCACGACCATCCCCGCGGGTACGCTCATCCTTAGCGAAACACCCTTATTCAGCGTCGCAGAACCGCGCAGCAACAGCGCCGTAGTCTCAGCTTTTGCTTCATTGTCCGACTCGCAAAAAACCCAATATCTATCCCTGTACGCGCAGAAAACCTACGAATTGAAAGAGAATGGAGAAGAAGAAGAGGCAAGAGTAATCGACATCTTCAACTCCAACGCCTGGCAAACGGGGAGCTATACTTCTATCTGCCCCCTCGCCGCGCGCTTCAACCACAGCTGCATCCCCAACGCGTCCTTCGCATTCAACCCGCTCACTGGAAAAATCACAATCCACGCCATCGTGCCCATCCCCTCAAATTCCCAAATACGATTAAGCTACGAGCGGCCCTACCAAACCACCCTCTCGCGGCGCGCAAAACTCGCTTCCTACGGCTTCATTTGCGCCTGTCCGGCGTGCAGCGACCCCACCCCCGCCAGCGATACCCGGCGCGCGCGCATGGTGGTGCTGGACGCGCGGATCCGGACGGGGCGGCGCCAGCTGTGGAGACGGCCTGTGCCGAAAGCCGCGTTGGAGTTGTGCAGGTTGCTTAAAGAGGAGGGGTTGGTGGGGGAGGCGTTGGGGCTTGCGTGGCATGATGCGGCGGTGGGGTGGAGGAGGCATGGGAGGTTGGATCAGGCGGTGCTGTGTGCGGTGAAGGAGTTGGAAATCGCGTTGATGTGTTTTGGCAGGGAGAGCTCGGCGGTGGATGTTTCGACGGGGTTCTTGTTGGGGTTGAAGGGGGAGATGGGGATGAAGGCGAAGACGGGTGTTGCTGTGGAGGCTGAGGAGGTTGTGCGTTGCTAGAGGGGGTGTCTTGGTATGTGGTCAGGATGTCCTGATTTGGTGTTGAAGCATGCTCTGGGTATGCCGATTCTTCCATGCCACATTTCCGCTTCCTTGATTTGTGGCGCAGTAACGATATGTACAATGTGCCACACTCACAATCAAGCTTCCATCTCTAGCAAACAATGTCCCACCACTTCACATATCCCCTCCTCGCAAACCCAAACTTCCGACGCTCCTAGCCTGCATCGCGAATCTTCCCAGTACCTGCACCACTACCTACCCCCCCTCCAAATCACCACCACCTTCACCACCACCACCACTGCAGTAACCGCACAACCCTAGCATGACCAAAACCCCTCAAACTTCCCGCACCCCTTCAAAAGCCGATCAAATCGTGCGCCTTAAAAGCATTGTTCAGCCCCTCACAAAATACCCATCTACTTCCAATTCCAAATCAAATCCACCCCAGTGTACCGAACGCCAGAAAAGTTCCAGCATGCCACACATGTCCGAGTGGCTATGTCCCCACTGCTCACATATCAACCGTGGGGAAGGGGGTAGTGGGGAGAAATGCGGGGGGTGTGGGAAGTGATGATGATGATGGATGAGACGGATGAGACAGATGAGACGGAGGGAACTGTCTGCGGTTGGGGATATGAGATACCAAAGGAGAGGAATGAGGAATAGATGGGGAAGTGTTGGAGTGTGGGTGGGATGACGGAACGATGGCAGGCTGTTGTAGACGAGAGGGTTGATGAGGAGATGATGTCGAGTTTTTGTTAGAGACGAAACCTGAGCATGTAAAAGTTGTCTTGCAGGACTAGATCTAGATATGCAGATTTCCCAAACTCCATCGCTATGCATAAGATGTATCATCGCACGTATTTCCGAGTTCATCGAGTTGGTGTTGCAAGCAACGGTGTATGTATATATGGGGATAAGTACGACATCCCATACTTATCCCCATATAGATATACACCGTTACTTGCAACACCGACTGAATCATCAAACGTGACCTTCTCTTTTCCTCTCTCAGATGCCTCCTCTACTACCTAACCCGAAGCCGCTTTCCAGCAGGTTCAACACCGCCCTCTTCCCTCGCCGAACTATGCGCTTCAGAACCAGTCCAAACCTGACTCTTCACAGTCGTGGGGACAGTCGTACCGTTTCCTGCTTCACTCCCCTCATTCTTTCCCTCCATCTTCGCTCCAGCCGTCGGACCAACCTTCCTTGGCCCCTCAATAGAAAAGGAAAAAACCTCCCTCTCGGGCCTCCTCGACTTCCCCGTCGCCGGTTTTCTAACAGCATTGACATCTTCCTCCTTGAACAGCTGCCCCGTCCTCTTCGTCGCTTCCTTACCCGCCTCCGTCGCTTCTTCCACAATCTCCTCGCTGTAGTGCCACATCAGCGCGATTTCACCCCTTACAAGCGCAGTCGCCCAGAGACTGAGCAGCACGCCTGGGACGAGCCAGAGAAGAGCAGGTTGCGCGTGATTCATGAGATGTAGCGCGGCGAACGTAGCGACCAGACCGCCTACATAGCCCACTAGCGAGGCATTGAAATACGTTTTCGGAAAAGTGAACGGCGCTTCCTCTTTCCCGTTTTCTAAGGGTGCGGCAGACTTCCACAGCGGGCGTCCCATGAGTGAATGCGTCCAGAAATGGTCGCTCCAGCGGCCTGCCAGGGGTGTAAACTCCGCCTTTACAACCGTGTCCTCGGCTCCTTCAGTTGTTGCGGGGACGCGTTTCTGGCGGCGGAGGTAGAAGAGGTAGAGATCGAAGCGCAGTGCAAGGCCGATCATGAGTCCAGGGATGATGATGTCGCCTAGACCGAGCATGGCAGCGGCGTTCTTGCCCGAGGGCGTGGTGGCGGTGCCGGGTTTGGGGAACATGAGTTTGATGGGGACGTCGAGGGAGGATGCTACTGTTACCATGAGAGGACTGGAAGAAGTGGTGTTAGCAGTGTCCTGTGCAAGCGGGTGAAGGAGGGGAGAGGAGAGTACGTACGTGAAAAACACCATGTAGATGTCGTAGAAGAACAGCCCCACGAGTATCGCACTCCCTGTCGCAAATGTCGTCGGACTGATGACTTGGATACTGCCATACGCGAAACTGAAACCCAGCAGGTTCGTCAGGTACCATGTTTTATCCACGAGGTTGAAGTAGACGAGCGTAGCCAGCGCTACCACGGCACCAACAAGCGTGTGCGCGCCTACTCGAGCTTTGCCCGCCAGCGCGCGCTCGAGATACAGCTTCAGTGTCCACTTATTGGAGGGCATCGCGCGGTCAGCCCAGAGCCATTCCTTCGCGCCGTCTCCCAGCGGCATCCTCGCGAGGAAACCAGGCAGCGGAGTTGTGATAACCTTGCCGTTCTTGACATCTCCCGCGACAGGCACAGCCCTCCCTGCCTTGCCGTCGACATGGTACAGCGCGCCCCCGAGCACATGTCTCCTTGGAAATATAATCGAATGCCCAATATCCAGCACATCGCTAACCAACTTCGTAACCGCAAAGAACCCAAAGACAGCAAAATACGCATTAAGCGCTTTACTCAGTATACTCGGGTCCTTGAGCCACTTCAGCAAAAAATACAGCGTCGCCAGCGAAATCCCCGCGAAAAGCGGGAACAAGATGATATGTCTCGGTGAGAGTCCTTCCATCTCGTTCTCCGGCTCCTCATCCTCGTCCTCGTCTTCAGAGTCGCTGTCTTCATCTTCGGCGGCGGCGCGTGCGCGGTCTTTCCGGTTTTTCTTGGAGGGCTTCGCGGCGGTGGAGGGGCGGGTGAGCGAGGCGTGGGCGGCGGCGTAGATGGGGAAGAGGGAGGCGAGGATCATGTGGGCGTAGACGGGGAGGAGGGGTTGCACTTTTGTGAAGGCGTAGGCGGCGGTGCCGAGGGCGCTGGCGACGAGGCTGGGCTCCGTGTCTGCCATGGTGCGCAGAGGGGTGGGTGTGAGTTACGCGCAGGTGGATGGGGTTGGCGGGGATTTATGTGCCCAGGTGGTGATGTGGCAGGAGTGAGAGTGGTGGTGAGTGGGGAGGACTGCTGGTGAACCCAAGGTTACAGAGCTCGATAACCCTCAACGTGGCCTATATGCAACCAACCACAAAGACTTCGAACGTCAATGAGCGTGGAAGCAACCAGAGTACATTTCACATTCCTCTACCAAGCTTCTTCCGTCGCGCATTCAGACAACGACGCGACAATACGGCACAGTCGCGTCCTTTGCAAACAAATTCGGCATGCAAACCAATCAAACATGACGTCGCCGCATCGCGTCCAGCCAAACACCCTGATCGGCGTTCATGCATGGCCTGGCCAGACCGACGGGCCAGACCACCGCCATCTCCAGATCGGCCTGCACGAGCGGGCCCTTGCATGTTCCGCGCCCCTTCCTTCAACGCAAGACTACGCCCTAGTCTGAGTCAAAGGCGCACTCGATCGTTGTTGAGCGTGAAAGACGAGAGAAGATCGCATCGTCTTGGGAGCTGCCAGACTTCCACCACCGCCCCTCCTCCGCCCCTCCGCCTCCCCTCCACCTCCCCCACCCACCCATCCTTGCATGTTGCCCCCCCTTCCTTCTCTGTCTTTCGCGCTCGAGCGTGGAAGAAGGAAGATCACCTCGTCTTTGAAACTGTCGTCTTGCAAGCTGCCAGACTTCCATCACCGCGCCTGCGCCTCCCCACCAACCCCCATGCATGTTTCCCCCTTCCTTCACCGCTTGAAAACGATTAAATCATCCGTGCGACGACTGCCGCGTCTCATGATCCAGCATGCCTTTTTTGGCCCGACCCCATATGTCTTTTGGCCTGTACCGGGTACTCGGTATGTCAGCTTTCGGTGGTTAATATTAGCACAAAGGTGCGGAGAAAAGCATGTAGCCTGCATACTCAAATCCTGAGGTCGAGCTGGAATAGACGCAGTAGTAGTAATAGAGAAAAAGCATGAAGTAGATGCGCAAATGTGTGTTTGTATTGCTACCGAGTGTGTGTATTGTTGTGTTGCAAATGTATGCTGTATGTTCTTCTGTTTCCTCCTCAAGCTAAGCCATGCCGAAATCCACTGCCACCTGCCTGGCTGTCATACTTGCATTCTGCTCCTGCCTGCTCAACGACTCTGGAACGCAACAACAATCTCTCCAGAACTTCCCCTCCATCCCCTTAGATTAAGAATGAATGGAATTCGTGTGTCGCGTATACACTCGTGATGTGCTAAAAATACGCCCCACAAGAAAAAAAAAGATAAGTTCGTGTAGAGAAGAAGAAAAAAAGAAGCAAGAGCGCCGAATGTGCTAAATTGAGAGAGAAGCCGAAACACCCCACTTGTGCAAACAAAGGAAAAAGGCTTAGCAGTCTGATAGAAATGCTTGTGTGAAACGCCCGAGAGACAACCGGATTACAAGAGGGATATTTTGCGTGCAAAAGACAAGGAAGAAGCAAGTGTAAAAGAGGAATAGGCCGTTGGGTGTGGTAAGACCGGCTGAACCACAGCTTTTGGGCAACAACAACAACACCCCCGAACGCGCACGCTAGTAAAACAAGGAGATAGGAAAAGAGTTGTAGTGGTGTATCAGCACGGTGTGAGCCTGCTGGAGACGTTCAGGTCGCGGAGCATGTCAAAGGACATGCCGTCGACGTTGACGCGCTGCTGTGACTCAACGTACACGTCGTGCACGTTGGAGAAGGCGTTGCCCTCCCAAGGCGATACAGCAGTAAGCCTCTTGTTGTGAGGGTGTGGTGGTGTGACTGCCGCGATGACAGCCTGCTTCATCTGCGGGGTGATGGCCAGGCGCTTGCAGTCAAAGTACGAGGACGACGACACCGAAGACGAGGTATACGAAGGTGCTGACGTCGAGGTGAGCTGAGGTTGCGAGGGGCAAGACGAAGAGGGGTAGTCGGCGATGTCCTCGTCATCATCGTGTTCTTCCTCAGGTGAGGAACGTGGTAGTGCTGACGGGTCAGGAAACTTGAAGGCTTTAGCCGTAGTGGGCTCTGACTCTTCCTCTAGCGGCGTCGACGAAAATAGAAACGACGAATTGTGGTGCGAGGTCTCGTAGTAGCCTAGGATGGACGGCGTGAAGTTGCTTCCCTTGGAGTTGGGGCCTTGTTCACTGGAAAAGGTATACTCCGGGAGGGGAAGCGCCTCGTCATCCGTGTCGTCGTCGGTGGAGCTCCAGGCAGAGAACTGACTCTTCATCGGCGGTCGCACTGGGGGTATCTCGATGGCCTTTGGTCCATCGGTCTGGCGGCGTGCATTTGGGTTTGGCGACGTCGGCACTCGAGGAAACGATAGATCCGGACACGATCGGGGAGAGAGGGATGAGGTGGGGCGATGGTTGGATTGGTACGTCGGTATTGACTTGAGTTGGTTCTTGATGAAAGCGGCAAGGTTAGCGGAATAGTCGCCTAGCGTGGGTGACATATTCCGAGGTTCGCCATCGTTTACATGTGCGACCACGGTCGAAGTGCTGTTATCCGTGGCATCGGATGGCATGCGAGAGTGAGACCATTTTGCGTCAAAGGGAGATGGTTGATCTTGGGGGGTGGGTAGGGCGGCGAGGCCTTCGAGAAACTTGAGGTGGTCCTGGGGGTTGAAGAGACGGTTGACTTCGTCGTCGACGGACTGGTTGCGTCGAGCTCGGCGTTTCCGGACGGCGGCTCTGCCCTCAGCAAGAATAAGGAGTGCCTCTGGGGTTGAGCAGCCCAGAGCCTCAACAATGGGAAACGAGTTACTTCTTTGTCTCTGCATGCTGTGTCGGGGGCTCGCCCTGCGAGGGGATGGCGAAGAGTGGTGGGAGTCCATGGTGTATATTAGTCCGGATAGAGCGGGAGAGGTGCTAGTTCATGGCCGCAGAGCCGCGGAGTGAGTCGATGCTGGGAGCGAGGAGTCCTAAATACACAGTGCAGGTTGAGGGCAGACGTCCAGGGGGTGTTGTGACAGTGCTGGTCCACGGAGCAAAAGGAAAAGAGAGTTGCCGCGTGTAAAACGGATGGCAAGGCTACTTTGAAGCCAGAAAAACGGTCGACGGATCAGGTCAGGATGGCATTAGTGGCCCATCTCGCTTCCCAGGCCCCAGGCAGCCCTAGCCCGACAAGAAAATGCTCTCCTATGGGCCCAAGCCGAAAAGTACGAGTTGGCAGGCAGGCGTACGGGCACATGACGTTTACAGCCCTCGACCAGCGACATGGGTGGGTCTTGCACGGCCTTGGAAAAGCGCACACTCAGGATGAACTATGCTGCACCCCTGGATGGCGTGCACCCATCTGCCGGATCCCGCTGGCGTTTCGCAGCGCTGCCCAATGGGGGCCGAGAGGGCGTGCGGCCTGTCATGCGCCGTCTGCTACCGTCGTGGCAAAGCACCGGAATCTCCGTTTTGCCATGGAGGGTTCGCGTTGGAGCGCCTGATGGTGAGAAAGCTCGCAGCCTGTCAGCGGTGGTGGAGGGCCTGCGCAGACGTGCCGCGACAGCCTGCGTGAACCATCGTACCCACATCAAACGAGGCCTGTTGCGTGAGGTCGTGGTGATCATGATCGACGCTACCCTTGCTTTTTTCCCTCGCTGTGCTGTTTCTCCAAGGCCTGATCAGCCCTGCCACTGATGCGTTTGGCCCGACGATCTGTCTCTGACTGGCCGCAGCTAAGATAAAAGTGCGATCGATCAGCACTGGCCGCGCAAGCGAAACTCTGCTGTACATGTAAACGGCGGTTCACGTACCCTCGCGTCGTCGTGATGTAGGAATTACACCTCACCTGCGCTGCATACACGGGCGCGCTCGTAATTGTCCGAGGTGGGTGAATGTGCGCCGTGCTAGAGCAGGTACGCCGAAAAAAGAATAACCGGCCCGACTCGAGCAGACGCGACACTGGTCCGAGGCTGAGCAACGCGTTCGCATCACGAAACCCGCGATAGAGTTGGATTTCCAGGGTCCTGAAGAGTCATACCCTCCGTGCCGATGCCATTTGGTCGGATATCCGGTGCCGTGTGGGATTCGATAGGTCCGACTGTGGCTGCAATACCGTAATCACTGGCGGCCTCCCTCCGATAGCCTCAGCTGTCAGACTGAAACTGTCGCACCGACAATTTACTTTGTACTGCACTCTGCGACTCACTGGTAACCTCGTGAACTCTCAAGTCACCCCTCATTTGCTTTTCTCGTCGCCTTGTAAGGCTTCGGCTGCGCCCTGGTGCTCATCTTACCCCCGTCCAAGCGCCGCTTCCTGGCCATGTCGGGCTGTTTCCGCATGCAGCTTTGGTCGCCCGGGCATCAACACCGCATCTTTTTTTTTCACGATTGACATCATCACCGCGCTCATGAGTTGTGCGCACGCAGCAGCCTGATCAGCACGGTGCGCTGGATTTGCCCGAACAACTCCTCTGACATGCGAAACCACGACGCCCCGGGCCACCGTCCGAGCCTCGCCGCCGTCGCTACCAAAAGGGCTGCCTGCCCAACGGCGGCGCCTTCCCGGATTGCTTCACTTTCTCGCTGGCACCTGCTTGCATGTCTGTATCTCCAGTTGTTTCACCACCCTCGACGGCAGTAGCCCCGCACGAGGTATGCCATTGTGCGACAATCCCATCTTCGATCCCCCACCACCTCTCACCACCTCACCATCTACTGCGACACCTACCCGCCCATCTAACTTTGCATCCTCACCCCATCTCACGTAATGCGTTCGACCGCATCCTAGGGCACCATCACCACACCCGCCGGTCCTTTTTCCTAGAGTCGGCACGATCCGACCAACCCATGCTATTCGGCAATTATATCGCGGGCCTTGTCATTCTCTCGGTGCTACCTCTGCTTTTTATCCTGGCGCGCTTCTACTCAAAGCGCACGCGACTACTGCCATGGACTATTGATGATACGTTTTTGGTGTTGGCCCTGGTATGGCCTGACCCCTTTACAGAAGGCACTCTCTAACCACGTCG